TCCACATTCTGGATTCTACATTCCGGATTCCACATTCAAAATTCCGGATTCCACATTCCGAATTCCACATTCCGGATTCCACATTCCGAATTCCACATTCTGGATTCCACATTCCGGATTCCATATTCCACATTCTAAATTCCACATTTCGAATTCCACATTCCGAATTCCACATTCCAGATTCCACATTCCAAATTCCACATTCCGAATTCTACATTCTGGATTCTACATTCCGGATTCCACATTCAAAATTCCGGATTCCACATTCCGAATTCCACATTCCACATTCCGGATTCCACATTCCACATTCTGGATTCCACATTCAAAATTCCGGATTCCACATTCTACATTCCACATTCCAAATTCCAGATTCCACATTCCAGATTCCACATTCCAGATTCCACATTCCAAATTCCACATTCCGAATTCCACATTCCGGATTCCACATTCAAAATTCCGGATTACACATTCCGAATTCCACATTCCGGATTCCACATTCCGGATTCCACATTCCGGATTCCACATTCCACATTCCACATTCCGAATTCCACATTCTGGATTCCACATTCCGGATTCCACATTCCGAATTCTGTATTCCAAATTCTACATTCCGGATTCCACATTCCAAATTCCACATTCCAGATTCCACATTCCAAATTCCACATTCCACATTCCAAATTCCACATTCCGGATTCCACATTCCGAATTCCATATTCTACATTCCACATTTAGAATTCCACATTCCGGATTCCACATTCCGAATTCCACATTCCAGATTCCACATTCCGAATTCCACATTCCGGATTCTACATTCCATATTCCGGATTTTAATTCCGGGTTCCACATTTTACATTCAGGATTCTATATTTAACATTCTGGATTTCACATTCCAGGTACCACATTCAAGGTCCTTTCGACTTCAGTTTATAACTTTTTTTTAAAAATGAATTTGGTCAATTGAAGTACACTGCAAGCCCGATCAGCGGTCGGCTCCGGGGGTGCTCGACCGCTGATCGGGCGTAAACATATAGGACCGTACGAACTGTTTTATGATGGGTTACCATTACTTGACTACTGAATTTCTGTTTAAGGGGCCAGAGCGTCTTTAATGTATACGCTACTGCCACAACTTTTTGACTCCCTCATGGCCCCTCGCCCGCCCTATCTACAAACGACGTAAACAAGTGACCACTGATCGGGTGACCGCTGATCGGGCTTGCAGTGTAGGTATATTGCTGGAAAGTCCTGTTTAATAGAAACCTTTTTGCTGTGCAGAGTCAATATATTAATGGGTCCATGTTTGAAATTCAAAGTGCATTAGCATTGCGAAAAATGATCCCTTTATTGTTTACAACTTGTAAAGAGTTACAAATACAAAAACAAATAAGAAATACGTTACTGTTACAAAAAAGTAACGTGTAACAGTGCAAACTAACTTAATAAACAAAAGATTTCGGGATTAGATTTTTCACTTTATTTTTTTCAATTAGGAATCCAATAATACTTCTGCATGCTTGCCTTGACGAATCCATGTTTTTTAAATATTATTTTAATCGTTTTTCACATGATGTACTTGAATCCTTTTTTGAGGTTTTTTTTGTACCAAGGTCATAAAGAACACTACGTTTAATTCTCTAAAAAATGGAATATAACAAAAAATTAGGTGTCACTAAGACAAGCTTCGTCCCGCGTGCGCATAGGTGGCGCTAGTAACTTTGTCTAAAAAATCGAGATGGGCCTAATTAAAAGTATTGTATTTATTATAACTTATTATATTATTATAGTAAAATTATGTATTTGTATTATATAATTATTAATTGTTGTATATTAAAAATTATTGACAATCTTCTACATAAATAAAATTATTCACTATTACTAACCATTGTCTTCATTTTCAGTAACTTATGTAATCAATCAGCCTTTTTTAAGGCTAACAAATAATAACATTTTAAAATTATATCAACCAGCCTATTTAAAAACCACCGCCATATTGGATCCGCCATTTTGAATTTTTGAAAAAATTCACATTCGTAATCAGCTACCCTAATAACCCCTGAGTAAGGAATAGTAATCGAATCCGATCAATTTTTCAAAAATTAGTCCACCATTTTGGATCCGTTATTTTAAATTTTAAAAACTAAGTTCAGATTTGTGATCAGCGACCCCTATTGAGTAAATAGTTTTAACTGAATTTGAGCATTTTTAACCAATTTTGTTCACGAGGTTGATACATTATAAAAAATTGACTTCTTGGCGCCATTTTTTATCCACCATATTGAATTTTAAGCAACTAAACTTTACCATCTGAATGTTTGAACATTTTTGATGCGATATTTCAAGGTTTCACAAACTTCTTCGAACTCAATACCTTCACGGAAAAAAATGTTCACTTCAAACAGTGATAAGTTTCACTAAAATAGCGAAAGTATTTATTGCAACAACTAAAAATTTCACTAATACAGTTAAATTTATAGCTGTTCCAGGCAAAGACTTTTTTTCCGTGTTCGGAAAAAATATATTTAAAAAAAATTCAAAATATAACCTTTTTTTCTAAAGAAATGGCCGTACCTTTTTGGTTTTTCATCTTTGTTAAATTTTGAGTACAGGTTTTGAAAGAGCAATGTCCAAGACGTAAGCAATAGTTTTGCTGGATTTTTTTAAGCCCCTGGTCGATTAGAAAATTACGATTATAAAAAATTGTCTCTAAAATGTGTCCGTCCTGTCCTTAAAGGGTTAAGTTGTTATTGGTACTACCGAGCATAATTTTTTTTCAATTTTTTTATTGGATTAAATGATACATATCGTTCACTCCAAGTGGAAAGTACGTATGTTTAAAGAACATTTTAAAAGTTACGTATCTTCCACGTTCAGTGAAGAAACCACGTATCTTTCTGTTCCGTGCAGAAACTACGTATCTCTGTCAGTCACTTTAGAAGATCTACATTTTATTATTATTATTATTATTTCGAAGTTAATATTTTGTTATGAAGTAATAATTTTTTCAAAAGTTGATGCAATAAAATGTGTATTTTAAATAATAATTTAATTTTTTTTCATAAAAATATTAGAATATTATTAGAAGTTTCTAAAGCGACTGACAGAGATACGTAGTTTCTGCACGGAACAGAAAGATACGTGGTTTCTTCACTGAACGTGGAAGATACGTAACTTCTAAAATGTTCTTTAAACATACGTACATTCCACTTGGAGTGAACGATATACTATCCAAGAATTATACGTGGATTGGGAAAATTGTCTGGGAAAATTCTATAAACTATACTTTTACCAAGATAACTTTAAATTATAAACTTATTCTAGTTTGTTGATAATTTGGAAATTATGGAAATTCTTAATTTCATTAAAACTTTTTTATGGTTGGTAGACGCTTTTCCCAATCCGTTTTTCCCAATGGTTTTTTTTCCCAATGGACGTTTTTCCCAATGATCACTTTTTCCAAAAACGAGTCGTTTTTCCCAATGGTCTTTTTTCCCAATGAATATACACTACCGTCCGTGAGTATCAGGACGCCCCTTTTTCATGAGTGGAAAAATGCTTAAAACGTAGAAAATAAGAATGACAAAAATTTTTCGTATTTTTTTCCTGAAAGCTAATGAAATTATGAAAAGACTGACACGATTGAAGAATTTTCGTTGACTATTCTGTCAGATACAGAAAAAATACTGGATTTTGCATGCTTTTCGTAATTTTTTAATTTCTCGAAAACTAATTAACTCTTTTTAGCGTTCTTGGTCTTGTTTTAATCTCTATTCAATGTAGAATCTAAATTAATTAATTGTATTGTGATATAAATTTTTCCAAAAAAATTTGAAACTGTGAAAGTCGGATAAAAAAATTTTGAAAAACAGATTGACACTTTTTCAACAACAAAAAAAATTTTTTAAATTCAATAATTAAGTAATTAAAAAGCTTTTTTGAATTTGAGTATATCTATTAAATTAAGGGGGAGTGACACCTTTGACCCGAAAAAAAATCGAATTTTTTTGTCTTTGCTTGAACGATACTTTATAATGTGTAGAATAGGAATTATATCATTAGAGATGATTTCGAAGTTATTTTATGTGAAAAAAATCAAAATCTGCAAAAGGTGTCCAAGGGCGCTTCAAGTGCTTTCAAAACTTTAAACGCGTTTTTCTTGAAATGACGTTTTTCAAAACGGTGGGCAGTTTAGCTAGAACAGTTTTGATCGGATTGACTTCGGACAACGTTTTTTTATCGTCATTTACTTATGCTTTCGAGTACGTAGCGGATTTTTTTTTGGTTTCTTTGCTTTTTTTGACAACAGATTTTTTAACAAATTTTCGCCCTAAAAATCGACTTTTTACTTCAAACAACTGCCAAATTCACCAAAATTAATATTTTTAAAATATCCTACGTTCTCGAAAGCTAAATCTATCTCAGATTCAGAAAAAACTTTGAATTTTTGATTTAGATTAAACAGTCTAACCGGAATCTTGCCCACCGATTTGCTCTGCAGAGAAAGGAGACCAACTTTGGCGACCTCTATAGGCAACAAATTTAAACTTTTTTTACGTATAAATATATTTTTGTAAACTTAAAAAGTTAACAAATAAATGCCTCAAAACCAAATTTTGTTTACTTTAATCCCGTGTCTTAAAAAAATTCATGAAAAACAGGTTCAAAAGAGGACTCAAAGGTGTCACTCCCCCTTAACATATTTTACATTGACCTTTTTGACACTTTAATATTCATGATAATTTTTTGAATTTTTTGGATCCTACTTTTACGCTTTCAAACTTTTTGGGAAAAATTTATTTCACAATACCAGTTAATAATTTAGATTCTACATTGAATAGAGATTGAAACAAGACCAAGAACGCTAAAAAAAGTTAATTAGTTTTCGAGAAATTAAAAAATTACAAAAAGCATGCAAAATCCAGTATTTTTTCTGTATCTGACAGAATAGTCAAAAGGTTTTGGGAAAAAATAAAATTTTGGAAAATGTGACCCCCTACCCTTTTTTATCTAAAGTATTCCCTAATTATTTGCTGTCTGATTTCATATCTTTCTCTATTATTTTCCATCAAATTTGGTATTTGCTCTTCATGCTGCTCTTCGTCATCATCAATAGCTACATCAGGTAGTCGATAATGTTTTCGAACATTGTGCAGGATACAGCAAGCATTTACAATTTTTCCTAAATTAATAAAAATAGTTTCATTATTATGTTAATTAATTTTAATTAATATTAGTTATAATATAACAACAAAGGATATTCTAGAATATCCTATGGACATATTATTCACATTCGGAAATTTGGACATCCCTCGAAGATCTTTAAGATATCTTAAGACATCCCTGAGACATCATATAGATATAAGTTTCCGGATGTCCGTAGGACATCCGTATGAGATTCATAATATCCGGATGCTTTTAGGCACAAGATCCACTGTCACAGGAATATTTTTTAAAGTTTTAATTTCTATTTTTTTATATTTAAGTCAAGAAGATTATCTTAATTAAATTCCCACATCTTAGTAATAGCGTCTAACTTACACGGACTAATTAGACTAATTATTAGTCTATTTATTAGTCTAAAAATTAGTCGATGAAATTTTCCTCGATATTGTAGAAAACTCTCGGATTTAGTGGAAAGTGTTTTAAAAATCATATCCACAAGCTTTTGAAAAAATAGACGACAGTTGAAGAAACTTTCCGCGACACTCGAGGAAAATTGTTTTTAACGCTTGAGAGATTGTGCGCACCATTTTCCTCGACTCGTTGACGAAACCTTTCATGAAAGTATTACAATAATTCGGCGACTTTTTTCCGCTACTAGATTTCTAGAAAGTCCTCGACTTTTTTGGAAAATTTGTACTAAAATCGTAGAACATTTCCAAAACTCCGTAAATGGTTTGATCATATCAAAGAGTATTCGATTAGTAGCTGAAAATTTCATCGACTAATTTTTTGCGTGTAATACCTGCAGTTTCTGGATGATAATGTAATCCTCTTTCTTTTCGTAAGCATCGACATGTTGACTTCAAAACTCCAATAGTTTGTTCGACTATTGATCTGGTAAATTTGAGTCTGGAATTAAACCTTGCTTCTGGTGTATTTTCTGGAGGATTTCGTATAGGTGTAATTAATACTTGACTACACCCATAACCTGAATCACCTAGTTTATATATAATATTAGATTCAAAATCAAATTTAACCTTATTGTTCAAACATTTTTTATAGTTCAAGTCACGAATTGACCTTTTAATTAATTTTAAAACAAAATTGAAAATGTTAAGTGCTTTATTTTAACCTAAGAGCCAGAATCCTCTCAAGCCTTCTTCATATTTTCTACCCAGAAATGCAGAAAGCATTGAATTATTGTAGACTCTGGAATGTATATCAAGTTAGCAGTGCAACTTCACAAAATTCAAAAATGAACAATACTATAATTTGCCGTTAATTAATCGCTAATTAATTGTGAAAGAAATAATTTTGTCGTTTAAATATTTTTTTTTATACAGGGTGCCCTGCTAACTTGATGTCAAGTTAGCAGGGCACCCCCTTGAAACTGTTAAATCAATATATTTCGCAGAATTTCTTGCGCAAGAATTTACCGTTTTTTATCCGTAACAAATCCCATTAATCCTTTTGAAAAATAATTAAAGTTGCGAGGGCAAACAAAAGTTTTCGGGTTTAGAAGTGTAGAATAACCACTTTAACCGCACTCATAGGGTTATTCCTGTGTTTTGAATTTACCGCTTGTCGAATTTAAATGAATTGTGTCCGGGAAAAAATCGTATGATTATTTTCAACTTAACATTAGATAATATCAAGTTAAGCCAACCTCCTATCTCAATTTTTTATATTTGTTTTCATTTTTATAAATTCCACACTTTCGCCACTAGTTGTGCAATGTACTATTGTACCAAATGATCAAAATATTAGTGTACGGAACCCGCTATTTCAGTGCAAGTGAAATTCGCACTTGCCCAGTTTTTTTTAAATGCCGTCTAACATAAAAATAAACAATTATGAAAAGATAAAAATTACTTCGGAGGCGAGGGAATATTAATTTAGTTAAAATTTCTAAAATTTTTGTAAGATCCTGGAAAAAAATTTCAAATATAGGTGTTTTTCCTACCTTGGATCCTCTTGCAATTTTTTTTAATTACTTCATACATTAAAATTTACAATTATCAAAAGAAAAAATTGTTTCTAAGGCATGAAAATGATAATTTAATTGAATAAACAATTTAATTTAATACCGAGATTTTTTAAAAAATCATAACTATTATAAATGGTACAATATAAATTAAATTTATCAATCTTTTTCTGTGAAAGTCAGGTGGCAGATTGCACCCGTAGTAATTTCTTAAATCATTAATGCGCGCATAGAATTTTACTAGTAAATTGAATAAGTTAATAAAATATCTCTGAATATCTATAATATATTTAAAATATAAGTAAATAACGTAAATATTTTTTCCATAGACTATAAACGTTGTAAAAATAATCTCAGGGCATTCTAGCGATATTTTTATTATATCCCTAGGATATCCTGTGAATATCCTCTAGATATACCAAGGACAGCCATAAGATATCCCTACACTGTAAAAAATTTATGGAGTTAACGGACTCGGGAGTTGGGAGTGAAATTTTTTGAGTTAAAAATCAACTCCAGAAGAGAGTTAATTTACTAACTTCTACTAACTCCCTTTATCAACACCTGCCGGAGTTATTTTTTCTTTGGGGAGTTAGCATTTGGGTGTGAAGTTTTAACTCTCTTTATTTAACTCCCCAATGGGTTGCGACTTTTATAGAATCCCCTGGGGAGTTAAAATTTAACTCCCTTTTTTACAGTGTAGGATAACCTGTTGATATCCCACGGAATTCCTAGGGAAAACCCCCCCCAAAATATCCTACAAAGCGGCGGTTTGTATATCCCAGAGATAACCTACGGATATTCTAGGATATCATGTGGACTTTCTCGGGATATCTTACATTTATACAGGACATCCTGAGGATATCCTAAAGATATCCTTTTGTTGTAAGGGTTGTTGCTTGTTATTTTAACACCAAATTCGTTATTAAAATAACCTTTTATTTTCTTTGCATTGCAAGTCATTTAAATAACACCTTTTTAACTCTGCACCCAGAAAAAATTTGTTTAAAACAAAGAAAAATTGTTTTTTTAAAATCCCTTTTTAAATTGAAGATGAAATTTGTTTTAATAAAAAAAAAATCTTCCTTGCTTTTGCAAAAAAGTTTTTAAATGTTTTTAATAGAGGTGTAGTGCAAAATTCGAATCGAAAGTAAATTCGAATCGAAATACGAATTCGAAGTTTCGAATTTCGAATTGGCCGATTCGAATCGAAAGAAAATTCGAATCGAAATACCAATTCGAAGTTTCGAATTTCGAATTGGCCGATTCGAATCGAAAGAAAATTCGAATCGAAATACGAATTCGAAGTTTCGAATTGGCCGATTCGAATCGAAAGTAAATTCGAATCGAACTAGCCAATTCGAAAATCGGAGTTTCGAATTGTACAACTCAACTCGGTTAATTTATTCGCACAATTATTTTGACAGAAATCCTAACCTAAAATTAGTAGGCTGATATTCATAATACAGCTATCTATAGTACTTTGAAACTTTTTCTTAAAAATTGTCTATATATTTTTTATTAATTCTATAATTTTAATATATAAACAACATACAAATACCAATAATTTTTAATATTTCTTATTAATAATTAATAATTATTTTTAAGTAATAACAAATATTTTTCTGAACATTGAAAATTAAAAATTTGAAAATTATAAAGTTAATAAAGAAAAATAAATGTATATTTATTATAGAGGAAGAATTCATTTTATTTTTAATTTTCAAAAATAAGCAATTATAAAATTAAATTTTTAGAAATTTCCATGGTTATAAAGTTACGTTATTATTATAAATTTAATTTTAAATATACAATAATATTTCAGCATATTTTTATTTATTTAACTTCTTTATATTATCATAAAAAAATACTTAGATGTGTTCTTTATTTTATAGTAATGTAAATTATTTGTTTTCTTAAATTAAATAAATTAAATAAAATTTTTTTAAATTAATAACAAAATTATAAGTTGTATTTAAATGAAGTAAATAATTATAATTTTTACAAATAAATTTTAATTGTAATAAATTAACTTTTTTGATTCAAAATTTTCTAAATTTTAAGAAAAATGTTTTCCTAAAAATATAATTTTTTAAATCTAATTAATTATAAAATGACTTTGTATTCTTTCTTTATTGTTTATATTTTTTTTATAGTATATAATTGCTCTTCATGTATACCCCATTCGGGTTTTTACATATCTGACAACCCCCCTATTATTCTCCAAATTTCCCCAGATTTCCCCAAATACCCCCTATTTGCGGTCCGCAGCCGACTTTTATTAGAAGTACTCGTATTCACATGGCCCTCTCTGGCCATAGTTAAGGGAAACTACGGAAAACCTTTAACTGAGTACAGCCGATTTATCGACGCCGAGTCTTGGATGTATAAATTCGAAGTCTCGAATATTACACAACCAAGTCCTCGACGTTCAAATCGCCCGCTCAGATTATCTCACGTGCCGGAAAAATCCCAGGCTAATGGGCGCGAACCAAGTACCCTTGGTCCATCTCGCCGAGCGAGGCATTTATCCGACTGAGCTAATCTGTCGGTGATTAAATTCTTAATTTTAGAATATCAATTTTTCTTTGTGGGCAGTATATATCTATTATCCATATTTCTATACGCTTGAAGTTCCTTTTGTTCAAGTGTTCAATTTCGAATTGGCCGATTCGAATCGAAAGAAAATTCGAATCGAACTACCAATTCGAAAGTAAATTCGAATCAAACTAGCCAATTCGAAAATCGGAGTTTCGAATTGTACAACTCAACTCGGTTAATTTATTCGCACAATTATTTTGACAAAAATCCTAACCTAAAATTAGAAGGATGGTATTTTTAAATCCATTATAGTTTACAATATTCAGTTTTACAAAATTTCAAATATTCCTAAATTCTTCAATGAAATAAATATTAAATTATAAAAACTTAGAATAATATTTACAAAGTTCAATTAAATTTATTCAAAATTCAATTATTTTTAAAAATTCACGCTATATTGCTTTTGATATTTAATTGTTAATCTAAAATTTTAATTGAATTGAATGTTTCTTAAAATTCAATTCCCATAAAGAATCGTTATCAACAAATTGTAATAAAATTTTTGAGAATAGTGACATTTTTCGAGAAATACGATTAAAATTTTATAAAAAATAATTGAAATTCTGCAATGAGTTTTATTATTTATGAAAATAATTGAATTCCTAAAAGAATTTTATTTTTTATAAAAATAATTGATTCCCTGTAAAAATGTTATTTATACGAGAATATTTTATTTTCTGCAAAGGATTTTATTATTTTAAGTAACAACACAAATATTGAATTTCTGTAAAGTATTTTATCATTCATGAAAATAATTGAATTTTTAAAAAAAATTTTATTCAAATTTATAACAATAATTAAATGCCTTGCAGAAATTTTGTTAATGAGTTGAATAATAATTGAATTACTGCGAAGCCTTTTATTAAAATTCGGACAATAATTAAATTCTTTTCAAAATTTCAATTAAAATAGTATTAGAAAAGAAATAGTAATAGTAAAGAATTTTATTAAAATTTAAAAAAAATTGAATTCCTAAGAAGAATTTTATTAAAATGTTTAAAATGGAGAAATTTTATTATTTATGAAAATAATTAAATTTTGGATAAATTTTATCAATTTTTTCTGAATAATTGAATTTCTTTGCGAAATTTTAATAAAATATATTTTTATTTCTTGTATTAGCGAATTTAAAGTAGTGCAAATTCTCAAAAAAAAGAAATAGTAGCTTCGAGTTGCTGAAATCTAAAAAAAAGTACTTAAATATATAGTACCATAACGTAAAAAAAGTAGTAAATAGTTGGTTTATACTTATTTTTTATTTATTTTAGTTTATTAACTTTTGAATTTAAAAATCTTTAATTTTCAATTTTTAGAAGATTATTTCTTAAAAATAATTAATAGGGTAGAGTGGGGCAAACCGGACCCCCTAACGGTTTTTTGACTCTTGTGACCAAACGAATCAACTGATTTCACTTTTCGATGGCTTGTTTGAATGATCATTTAATTGCGCAACTTTTTCCCAGAGACACATATACCTTATCTTTTATTGTTAAGTTGCTGTGTTAACTTTAAAAAATTTTGCAAACGGTCCGGTTTGCCCCACCCCCTGGGGTAAACCGGACCGTTTGGTTTTTTATTTATAATATTGCATTTACATAATCTACAATAATAAAAAAACATAAAGAATCATGTAAACAATGGTTGTGAATAAAATTTTGTGATAAAGGGAGTTAGTAGAAGTTAGTAAATTAACTCTCTTCTGGAGTTGATTTTTAACTCAAAAAATTTCACTCCCAACTCCCGAGTCCGTTAACTCCATAAATTTTTTACAGTGTAGGGATATCTTATGGCTGTCCTTGGTATATCTAGAGGATATTCACAGGATATCCTAGGGATATAATAAAAATATCGCTAGAATGCCCTGAGATTATTTTTACAACGTTTATAGTCTATGGAAAAAATATTTACGTTATTTACTTATATTTTAAATATATTATAGATATTCAGAGATATTTTATTAACTTATTCAATTTACTAGTAAAATTCTATGCGCGCATTAATGATTTAAGAAATTACTACGGGTGCAATCTGCCACCTGACTTTCACAGAAAAAGATTGATAAATTTAATTTATATTGTACCATTTATAATAGTTATGATTTTTTAAAAAATCTCGGTATTAAATTAAATTGTTTATTCAATTAAATTATCATTTTCATGCCTTAGAAACAATTTTTTCTTTTGATAATTGTAAATTTTAATGTATGAAGTAATTAAAAAAAATTGCAAGAGGATCCAAGGTAGGAAAAACACTATATTTGAAATTTTTTTCCAGGATCTTACAAAAATTTTAGAAATTTTAACTAAATTAATATTCCCTCGCCTCCGAAGTAATTTTTATCTTTTCATAATTGTTTATTTTTATGTTAGACGGCATTTAAAAAAAACTGGGCAAGTGCGAATTTCACTTGCACTGAAATAGCGGGTTCCGTACACTAATATTTTGATCATTTGGTACAATAGTACATTGCACAACTAGTGGCGAAAGTGTGGAATTTATAAAAATGAAAACAAATATAAAAAATTGAGATAGGAGGTTGGCTTAACTTGATATTATCTAATGTTAAGTTGAAAATAATCATACGATTTTTTCCCGGACACAATTCATTTAAATTCGACAAGCGGTAAATTCAAAACACAGGAATAACCCTATGAGTGCGGTTAAAGTGGTTATTCTACACTTCTAAACCCGAAAACTTTTGTTTGCCCTCGCAACTTTAATTATTTTTCAAAAGGATTAATGGGATTTGTTACGGATAAAAAACGGTAAATTCTTGCGCAAGAAATTCTGCGAAATATATTGATTTAACAGTTTCAAGGGGGTGCCCTGCTAACTTGACATCAAGTTAGCAGGGCACCCTGTATAAAAAAAAATATTTAAACGACAAAATTATTTCTTTCACAATTAATTAGCGATTAATTAACGGCAAATTATAGTATTGTTCATTTTTGAATTTTGTGAAGTTGCACTGCTAACTTGATATACATGACTCTGGAATCATTTGCTCTGCCACCATATCTTGCGTTCACTTAGAGTATTTCATTGTCTGCGTTTGATACCTATTGTTGTCATCATTAGTAATTTTATTAAAGGGGGGGTAGGTCTTAAAAAATTTTTATTGCATTAAAAAATTTTTTTTAGTAAAAAATGCATAATATCTTCAGAATATTGTGTTAAAATTCCTTAGGTCCAGGCATCATGTTTTTTATTGAATAATCATTTGTAACTTGTTTTTTTTAATTTGCAATATTTTCCGATACAACATTTCAAAGAGTGATTTCTGAGCCATTTTAATTTCAAAACTAACTTGAAAAACTTATAAATACTAAAGATATTTTTTTGAAATTATGATGTAAAGTTTTTTGACACAAAAATAAGATACAATTAAAATAATCTGGTATGATTTTTCAGAACTTTCAAAGTTTCGAAAACAAATTTTATTTCTTCATGAATTTTTTTTCTGTTAACTGAGCAAAAATTAAGTAAAATAAGAATATTATTGACGTCTATTTTTCTGTAATTGATTAATGTTTTTAAAAAATTGCATATTGAAACAATACTCTCTAAATCTGAATTAGTCAGTTTATGCTAGTAAAATAGTGCGGACTCGTTTACCAATTTGAATTAGTAACATTTTTTACTAATTGCTAGTAGAAAACTACTAATTCAATTAGTAAGTCGTATTTTTTACTATTTCAAATTAGCAAGCCAACTTACTAATGAATTAGTATAGTTTTCTACTATAGCAATTAGTAAAAAAGTACTAAAGATTAGTAAAAACTGTTACTAATTCAGATTTAGGGAGTACATTTTAAAGACTTTATTCATTAAATCCTTGCGGGCACAAATTAGCCTCCGGTTGCACAGAATTGTTAACAATATATAATAATTTACTTTAATAACATTATTTGAAGAAAACTTGTCATAGGCTTGTGGTAAAATTACCACAATTTTATCATGCATTAGTGTGTCAAGCTTACACAGCATATTTAAAGCTTGCAGCATGATAACGTGCGCTTACTGTCTTGGAATTGGAGATTGTTCAAAAGGATAAATTTACTAATTGTCACTTTTCTGAATAGTCAATTCTGTTAAATGTCACTTCGTCATAAAGACAGTTTGGTTAAATGACATTTCGCTAAAATTTTATTTGAGAATAATCAGACGCCCTTTTATTTTTGAAACTTCTTAACTCGAAAATATTATAACATTTAACTGAATTAAAAATCCAGATAAAAATTTTACGTGAAATAGTTCATATGAACTCTTACAATCATTGCATTCAGAGAATGGAAACCTTTCCGGTTGAAATATCCTTCTTCGATATCTCTATGAGGTGGCGTTATACATATATGTGTACCATCCACTACTCCAATTACTCCGGGAAATCCAAATTTTTCTAAAAATCTACAATTTTTACCAAACATCAGTTATATATATTGCTAAATTATATATAAATGGTCAAAATCGCGGAGCATGTAACGTAACAGTCTTTTTGTTTTGTCCATAACTTTTAAATAACAAGGAATTAATAAATTTCTGTTTGCATCTTAAAATATATTTTTTTTAACAATATTGCATAGAAATATAATTTTTTTTGTATTTATCAATTAAAAGTTATTAACGTTTTAAAAAGACTGTTACGTTACAAAAGTTTCGTTTTTCGCGATTTTGACCATATATGGATTACTATATGCGATTACCTTCCCACATTTTCATTCATTGTTGGAAGATTATATATAGCAATTTTGTACATTATCAAATTTAATTACTCTCTAAATTTGCATTATTAAAAATGTTTACTAATCAGATTAGTAAACATTTTTAATAATGCAAATTTAGAGAGTACAGTAAAACTATTTCTATACCTATTTCTTGTTACTTCCATTTCTTCACGTGAAGATGGAAATTTAATCCATCTATGCATAATTTCTTGTAGAGCATCAATGGTATTATTAATCGATATACTTATTGAGGATTGGCTCATACAGGAATGCACAGAATTACCAACTCTTCGTTGGTAAGACCCGGAAGCTATAAAGTCCAGCGTTGCAAGTATCTTTTATATTGTGAAATTGATTAGTAAGTAGTGATTTACGTTTTAAAGATTATTATCTTAATTCAATCTTTTACCCCTTAAGGTCCAGAACCTATATTTGAGCACTTTATAAAACAATTAATTCCAAATGAACAGAAGAGATCAGTTCTTTTTGAAAATACGAACATTTTAAATTTTGACAATTTTGCAAAACTACAATCAAATTCGTAATCAGTGACCTTAAAACCCTTAACCTATCAAAGTTGCTGAAATTTATGTTACTTTAAAAAAGTCAGTCGTTAACTCTTTCAATTATGAGTTTTCTGCTTGAAATTCGTTACACCAGGTATAGCTAAGTTATGTAGGCTGAAGACGGGTGTATGAACAAATAAAAAGATATTATCTCTCTATATTACAAAAAGATATCGCCGCCGCCGCTGTTTCAAGATTTTTTGACCTACAGGTCAAGAGTTGACCTGTAGTTTCTCCCCTTAGAATTTAGGTCAACTTTGAGGGCATTATAGTGGAAATTTACAACAAAAATTACAAAAATAGTTTTTGGTAATAAACAAAGATAACAATTTACATCTCAACAGTTGCAAAGGATTAGTAGAAAATGTTTTTTTTCTTTAAATGGGACAATTTTGTAATACATTTGTTTATAAGGATTTTATTGTTAACAAATTTTGTTTAAGCAATTTTTTATACTTATTCATATATAAGGAAGATTTCAAAAATCAAATATCCTTTCATCTATTGATAAATATGGAATAGAAATGCAGAAAACTACGAAATAATAGGTGGTCCGCACGATCCACTGTGTCGCAAGAGGTTAAAGGGTTTAGGTAAAACGACTGAAATATATTTATTTATACTCATTACAAAAAATAATTTAAATTAAATTTATTTTCTAAATGTAATTTGAATGTAAAAATAAATTCTTTAAACCTGTAAATGTATAGGAATCCCACTTATTCTTTGTTTTTCCGGCATAAACGGTCGTAATTCTTCAACTAAATCGATAACTGACACTCTTGATAAACTAGTGATATACATTTAATTAACACTTTTCGTATTTTTAATATAAAGCATTAAATATTTACCATACATTAAAATTTAAATTTAAATTTTGATTACCGGTAAATTTTTCGAAATTCGTTTTCCGGAATTTCAAACGGGTTACATTCGTCTCTCATTCTTCTCCGAAATGTAATTAAATTACGTTTTTCTCTTCTATTCTGGAGTTCTATTTCCTGAAGTAAAATATATTCTTCCATTTTAAAAACTATTAATAAATATGAATTTGATTAATAATTTCTAGGGAGAAACTTCAAAACATTTTCATAATAACAAATCTTGTGTACGAAATGAAATTATAATTTAATAATTAAAAAGAGTAGCAATTGTTTTACGGTGTGTTTTGACAGGACAGTTTTCACAATCTCAGTTGTTGGTCAATATAATTTGCTAAGTAAGTATAGTAATTAGATGAAATATTTTTAATAAATCATTCATTATCATATTTATTTGTAATGGATTTTTTATTTCCATGTTCAATTTCACAATAAAGAAATGTCCATTGACATGTCCGATTTGCAACGTGCGATTATGTTGAGATTCATGGCGAAGAATCAGAATTTTGCGATTAGTGAAAAGGGCAAAATAACTGTTGCGAATCAGGTATGTTTCTAATATTATCCATTAATATCTTAACTTTCATATATATATGAATTTTTTAATTTTTAGTTTTGAATTAAAAAACAATTTATATAACCTTTAAATTGAGTAAATTTTGCTTATTAAATTAAATAATTAGTTAAGAGTAAAATTCCATTATTTTAAAAGATTATCACCAGCATTTATTTTTTTCCTATGATTTCCAAAATAAGCTTTGACTTTTATCTCATATCTATAAAAGAAATTCAGTGGAAATTTAAAGTTTTTTAACCTTCTTACGGGTTTATAATTTTTCAATTTTGCAGGAAAAAAATTTTGTTAAATTTAATTTATTAATTATTTCAAATTTACTTTGATATTAAATACAACTATTTAGCTTCTTCTTCAAGTTCCACTGAGTTTTATTTATATGACTCTCGAATTAATTTTTTTTAATAAATAAATAAAAGATATACCCAGAGTATACTCGGGTCAAACCGTAGAGAGGTTAAATTTTTTTTAAATCGCTAATTAAATTTGGTAACAAAAATTATTTCAACTTCATTTTAAAAAATTTCATTTAATTTTCTAATTCTTTAATTCTTTCATTAGAAATTTAAGTATATTTAAAAATTGAATTACAATTTATCAGAAACACAATTTTCTTAAAATTTGAAATAAAATTATTCAAAACTTAAAAATTGTTTCAAATAAATATCTATTCTGCGCAGAAACAGAAATTTACAAAATTTTTAATTCAAACCAAGAAATTAAATTTATTTTTGCAATAAACAACAAGAATATTTAGTAAATAAATATTTATCAATAATATATTAAATGGAAAAATAAATAAATACTTAATAATAAAAATGTCGTAAATACGATATAATAATTTTTTTTATTTTATTTAAAGAATATAAAGTATATTAAAAATTTTCTAAAACAATTAATTTTGTGTAATAAAAAATTATTGATATCATATTATTATATTTGCATTTTAAGTAGTAAGTGCACTGTTGAGTCGTTAAAACAAATTTTAAAAGTAAACAATTAATTTTTGTAGAAGAAATTGTGGCATGTCCTATCAACCATATTAAACATGGATTTCAATGGCACTATATATACAGCAGAATCGTGGATGAAGGTAAAATGATTATTTTTATTTCTTCAAATTCTCAATTATTACATATAAAAAAGTTTTTCTCAAAAATAGTTTATTATTCGTCTTCGAATTTTTTATGTAAAATATTAAATTTTGTTATTGATTTTCATTTACTATTCCCACACTTAAATATATTTTTAGATGTGGAACAAATGGAAGAGTGAAGCGAAAAACAAAATGAGGGATGAAAGAAGAAACCTTGAATCTACAAGAGGAGGATCTCCAATTCCTATTGTTTATCATTATTTAGATGAGCAGTTGATAACCCTACTGTCAAAGGAAAAAAAGTACATTGCGAATTTAATATATATTTTTTTATAATTATTTCATATTTTCAATTATTAATTCATATTTATTTTTAATACTGGTAGCGATTTAGTTCTTCCACCCGCCAAGCAATGGGAATTAAAAGCACTAAAGCAGCTGATGCCAGGGGATACTATTATATCCAAAAAAAGTAGTATCGAAAATGTGAAAAAAGTGAGTCATCAGTAATTTTGGCATAATAAATTTTATATTAATATCTTCAAATTTTTTAAACAATGTTATAATCAATTCTTCACCAATAATAATTTAAATGACAACTTTTTTTAACAAACACTTATTCCATATACAGACTCGAAATGCTACTAAAATGGATAACAATCAATCCGAAAATGAGGCTAAAGAAAAATTTCATGCGGCAGAATCTGAAGGTACTATTATAAACCAGGAACGTTCTCAAATCTCTTCTGTCTGCTTGTGCAGGCTTCGCCCTCCTCTAGTAAAACCTACTATTTACTACTTTTTTATGATTAGCTACTATTTGAATACTTTTTTTTTATTCTTTGACACTAAAAGCTATACTTTTTTTTGTTTTTTAATTTTTTAACTAATTTAAAATCAGCTAATAATTAAAAAAAAAATTATTCTCAACATTTTTAATAAAATTCTTCGTAGAGACACAATTTTTTTTAAGAATTCAATTATTTTCTACAAATAATAAAATTCTTCCCTGAAATTCAAATGCTTTTTCAATATCTACAATTTCTATAAACTTTTCAAAAGAATTCAGTTATTTAAAAAGAAATTAATAAAATTATTCTCAAAATTTCAATTAATATAATGAATAATAGAATTTTCGCAAGAAATAAATTATTTGAAATACAATTTTCCAGGAACATTTTCGAAAGAAATAAATTGTTTAAAATATTCTCAAAAAAATTTGTTGAAATATATTAATTATTATATAAAATTTTGATAATATTTTTTTATAAAAAACGAATTTATTTCATATAAATACTAAAATTCAGTACAAAAATTAAATTATTTTTTATATAATTTTAATTAGATTATTTCAAGTAATTTAATTATTCATTTCAATTTTCATTTAAAAAAATTGTATTATTTATAAAAAAATTTTTTAATTCCTTCGTAAAAATTTAATTATGTTTAAAAATAATACAAATTTTCACAGGAATTTAATTATTTAAAAAAAATTCCATGAAATTCGTTGGAAAAATTTAACTATTTTTACAATTAATAAAAATTCATCACAGGATTTCAAGTATTTTTAATAAAATTTTAAATAAATTCCTCGAAAAATGTAATTATTTACAAAAATTGTGTTAAAAATTTTCAAAACAAATCAATTATTTTTAAAAGTATTTAGAAAATCTTTTACTAGAATAATTCAATTATTTTCAGAATTTAAATTTTCAAGAAATTGGAAATTTTTGTCAAATTTAATTAAAATAAATTTTATATTATTTAGAAAAATTAATTTTTTTTAGTTTTAAAAAGTATTTTGAAATAAAATCGAATTTTTGAAGAATTCTAACTGAAAGTCTGAAAAATAATTGTTTTTCATAAAAATTTATAATTGAAGTTATTATCAGAATAAGAAAAAAAGTGAATTTTTTATTTTAAATAAGAAAAATGTCGCAGGGAAATACAGAATCAAATTTTTGTGAATCGAATGAAACGAGTTTTTTAGTCATAAAAATTTAATTTTCCGTAGCTACTTTTTTACTACTTTTTCAGTCTTAAAACTACTTTTTGATACTTTTTTATAAAATTAATCATTGAGTGGGAAGCCTGCTTGTAAGTCTTTTTGTCTGTCGATCTACGTGTCTCTATCAGTTTTTGAGTCTTCTTTTCTTATTTTTCAGTCTTTCTTTCTTGGTTATTTCTTTCTGTTTTATACTCTTTCTCTTTCCCTCTTTATCTTACTCCTAATAATATTAGAATGTGTAAGTTATAAAATATGTGATATTGTAATTGTCTTTTAAATTAGTTTTTGAAGACGACGATATAATTGTTGTGGAAGATAGCGAGGGCGAAAAAGAAGACGAATTTAAAGAGGATAAAAGAAAGCAGAATGCAGATTGTGCCGCTTTATTCGAAGAGTTTGGATTAAATGTTAATCAACAAATTAAATCAAATCTGCCAAGAAATGCTTCCAGACAAAGTAGTTTTTCATATTTTCAATATTCTAGTTATATAATTATTTAATGATTTTAAATTTAATTATTCGAAACATAAACATTAAAGTTTAACTTGCTTTTTAAATGATTTTAACAGTTAAATTTTCACTGGAAAAGAATATTTCTTTTTCAGTGTTATCTTTTAATATTGACCCTTCTTCTTTTAACTCCAAAAAATGCGTCTATTACATCCTTCTGTTAAGAGTAAAATTTTAACTCTCTACTTTTACATTAAAGTTTTTTAATTACATTGATTATTTAGTTTAGCAAATCTGTTAATTTTATAGAAGTAAAATGAACGGGTAAAAGATTCATCAACACAGACAAACTTACGGATTATCAAAGATGTGTGATTTCATTAAAGCAAAAGAAATTAAAACTAATGACGGATACTTTGGAATATCAGAAAAAAAGAGACAAAGTACAACTAAGAATTTTGAGTAAAATTAAGGATAATTTATTTAAAAAATAGTTTTGTATTTTTGCATTAAAAATTCGTAAATTATTTTTACAATATGAAAATGTTATGATTATAAAAAATAAAATATTTCTAACACTTTATTTCATTTTGATTTAAGTTATAAAATATTGCTTTATAAATGAATAAACAATTTATTTAGTTAACAAGTATTTAGAATATACTAATTACTTTATTTTTATTGCGATAGATGATGTTTATTAAAAAAGATTTAATTTATTTTAATATTTAGAACTTTAGTAATATTTTCCTGTAGTCAAAATAAGAAGAAATAATCATTTTGAAAAATCTTGATAAAAATACAAGATATTTAAAAATAAAATAAAAATTAAATAAATCATATATGAAAAATCAAATAAAAGTTTGTGAAATCTAAGCTTTGTTTTACAAAAAGTATACTTTATCTTAAAAATTATTTTGCAATGATAAAATAGAACAAAGAATAAAATATTAATTTAAATAAACAATCGTAATTAAAAACATTTTTATTCTAATGCTTAGTAAAAATATAATTTTTGGAACAGGAAAGAAAAATTTTTTTTAATTAATTTATAAAATATGCAAATTGTTTAGAAAAAATTATATTGTACTTATAAAAATTTAGACATTATTAAATTAATAAGTTTTCTAATTTTTTATTTTGTAATTCAAAAATTTTTGTATTTAAAATACCTGAAAAATACTCATTTAATATTTGCTGAAATACAAAAGGAGCATAAACAAATAAATTATTATGTGATGGTAAATTAGTCATTTTGTACATTTTGAAGAAATAGTTTTATGCAAAAAATATTTTGAATGTTTATGACATATATGACATATATAAAAGATTTTAATAGTTATAATGTGAAAGTTCACTAACACTGTAATTTTGCAAAAAATGTTAAATGTTATTTGATAGAAGATCTGCTATATGTAGTAAAGGATTTTTTATTTATGTAACAATTCTGTTGTGTTTCTTTTTCGTTCGTATATCATTTATTTCTGTTAATCATTTACAACAAATGAAAGACATTATATGAACTAATTGAAAGGTTAATGTGACCTGTGACACTTCTCTGTTACTCAAAGAGTGTATCAAAAGTTTTTTGAATTATCAAAATGACTGTTACAAAATGTTCCACAACTCAAAGGAAAATCATGCTCAATTACATGATGGAACATAAAGACCTGGCTGATGGAAAGATTAAAGATGGAAGCAATTATAAAGAAAAGGCGGTAATTTATAATTTCTTATTCTAAAAGAAATGGAAAAGTTGAAACACACTTTACACATCAATAATGTTAATTTAATTTTATGCATTTTAATTTCAAGTGCATTTTCTCAAAATAAAGTTAAATGTAAAACTATTATTGACTATCAATGAGAATTATTTATTTAATACTTACTAATAACCTAAATATAAGTGATAGAATATTTTCCAATTATTAAAAATTACAGGATGATTTATGGAAAAAGCTAGCAAAATTATTAAATAATACAAAAGATGGAGTTCAGAAAACAGTTTCTTTATGGAAAAGAGTAAATATATAAATCTTTTTAATTTTAATAACAAATATACAGTAAAAATAACTTTTTACTAAATATGGTAATTTTACAAAGAAAGTTAAATGTGCTCTATTTTTTCAAAATTTTTGGTAAAACAATGCTTTCATGAAAAGCAATAAATAAAATAATAAATAGATAAATATTTATAGATATAAATATTTATATTTATTTACAAATATTTTTACTATTTTGAAATATAACCATAAAAACTTATTTACAATTTTTATAAAATAGTCCCGGAGTGATTGGAAAACATATTCGACTCAAAAAGTGGAAGAAATAAAAACTCAACTAGAAAAGGGCGAAAGAGTTACGAAAACTTTATCCGATATTGAAATGACCTTAATAAGAGAATTCATACCTAAAATAAAATTGGGCGCGAATATTCTTGAAGGAGGCTTCGGGAAAATGACCAGGAAGGATTTGTTTCAAGGAAAAAAAAGAGGTTTTAAAATATTTAACAATAAATCATTAATATTATTTAATTAAAATTTTTAACTTTCTTAAAAATAAAACAAAATTTAATTTCTTTAAATTCTCAATTTTTTAAGAATTTTCCAATATTTTTAGAAGAAATGAAAAATTAATAAATAAAATAAAATTCTAATTTTTTTCTTAGAAAAAGAGGGAAATATTTAAACAATTTCCAGTTTTTAATAACAACTTATTAATACATAAAAAACTAAAGATTCGAATTGGCCAATTAGAGTAATTATGCAGAAAGAAGAATGTTGAAAATGGCAACTTAAAAATATATATAATACCTTTTTTTCTCTCAAAAAAACTGAAAACATTTTCAAAATTAGAAATTATAAAGTAGAAGTTATGTTATATTTTTCCATTTATTTTTGAGAAAATAAGTAGTTGCATTTGAAAATCACACTTAAGATACATATTATGCAAATTTTGTAATTCTTTTAAAAAATATTAGAGATTCAGGGTTGCCACATGTCAGGGAAATCAGGAAAAAATCAGGAATTTTTATTAAAAGTACTGGAAAAAATAAAATTTTTAGAATTCATAAAAACATTCTCAATTCAATTACTTCCATAAATAAGACTTTTATTTGGTAGTAGAAAATAAATTATTTTCAAAAAGGTTTAATTAACTCTGCAAAAGAATTCAATTCTCTTGATAAACAACCACATTCTTTCCATAAAATCAATTATTTTAAAGAATTTTAATAAACTTCTTTTCGAAAATTCAATTATTATTTTGGTAAATTTCAAACATTCGTAACAAGAATTCAATTTTTTTGATAAGTTATTAAATACGTTACAGAAATTAGATTTTTTTTAAGTTTTTAAAAATTCTCATCAAGAATTAAATTATCTTCGAAAAAAATAGCGGAAGAAAAATTTTAATAACATTCTTGACAAAATTTCAGTTATTTAAACAAAATTTAGTAAAATTCTTCGCATGAATTTAATTATTTTAAAAAAATTTAATTAAATTCTTGAAAAAGTTTTCAAATTATTCTCATAAAATTGTTATATAATTCTTTAATATAATAAATTTTAGTATAAATTTAATTAAATTTCTTTAAAAGAAATTAATTGCTTTCAAAAATTATGTTAATAAAATTCTTTGTAGAATTAAATTTTAAGAAACATTCAATTATTGAATAAATTATTAATTTTTGCATTTAAATATAAATGATTGCTCATAGAATTTTCTAATAAACATTGATATAAAAATAAATTTCGGCTAAAATTTCAGATAATAATTGAATTAAAATGATGAAAATAATTTCAAAAAAGTTAAAATAAATCCTAATTTCTATAGAAAAATAATAGCTAATTAATTATTTAATTAATGAATCAATATTTATTTAAAAAAGAAGTTATTGTTGTTTTCGAATAATTTTACAATTTAAAAAAATTCGTAAATAAATGAATTATATTTTTTTAATATTTAAACATTTTTAGAATAAATAAGAATATTCTTTAGGGTCAGGGAAAAAGGCTCAATTCGGTCTGGAAATCAGGGAAAAGTCAGGGAAAAACAAAGTTGAATTTTTGTGTCAACCTTGAGAGAGATTTTGTTAAGAAAATGTATTTAAGCAAAAGAAATTATGCAAATTCTTTAATTAGTTCCAATATTAAAAAATACTCAAATATTAAAACATTGTTATTGAGAAATATAAGTGGTCGAAATTTCTTTTTTCTTTAAATCTGCTAGAATAACAACAGTCAGGGTTTACACTTGTCTGGAAAAGCGAGAATTGTCAGGAAAACACAAAAGTATCTGTGCAACCAGTAAAAGTCAGGGAATATTTTAAGCACCAGTAATGGCCCAGTAACGACTGCCAATTCTCGTCAGACACATTACTGGACCAATGATAGAACCAATTTATGATATTTATGATATTTCGCCTGCATTTTGAATTAATGCAAGTCAGGGAAAAAGTAATTTTTTTACCTGTAAAACCGGAAAAAGTCAGAGAATTTTAAAATAGAAAAACTGTCAACTCTGAACAGGATTTTGTATAAAAATAGTACTGAGATACATAAATCTGGTACGACGATTATTATAATTAATTTTTTGTCGTAAGTGGAAGAAAAATATGTCATTTCGGGCACTTAAGGTGGGCGCAAAGTAACTGATTATCACCGGAGGTTGTCAGACAATGTTCCCACGGGGAACATAATCAATATTGAGTCAATTTTTCCTCAACATTGCACATTGAGCTTAAATGTGTCATTCGGATAATAAGCTTCGAAATTTGGGAATGTGAAAGTTTTATAATAATTTCCAATTTATATTAATTTTATTTGGCTGAATTTGATTTTTAAAGTAGGTATAGAAATTTGTGCTTTTTTGTGGAGTTTCTGATATCAAGGAAAAAAATTTAAAACTAGCATGCATTAGGCACGAAGGTGGATATCCGTGTTGAGTACATTTCTTCTAAAACAATTTGTCGTAAAAACTTTCGAGTTTTGCATTGCTACTTTGCTATTAAATCACTGTAATATTACACGGCAATATTGCAAATTTGAATTTTATATAGAGGAACTCGGTGGGCGAAAAGAAAAACTTTCGTGGAACATTTCTAAAATGATTTAAAAATGTTTGTCGAACGTATAATATTTTTGTCAAATTATAATATAAGCTGAATATGTAATATTTACAATAATATTCAGCTCAAATTAGTTGCTTTATGAGAATTGGTTACTAATAAATATTAATGCTATATATAGAAAGACAGAAAGGAAAAACATAGAGTCCAAACTAAAATGAGTAAAAATGAGGTAGAATTGGAAAGTGTTAAAAATAATCTTCCTCATGGAAGTAAAGAAGAAAATAATTATTCCTCAGAGAATGAATTTGAAGAGGTGGAAAACAAAATGGAGGTCGACAGTTTATATTCCGTTTCAGAAGAAAATTCATTGAGTTGCAGCACGGGAAATGGTGAGCATTATTGATAATAATACACTGCAAAAATTGGTGTCTTTTTTGATATCTTAAAATAAGATGTAAGATGAAAAAATGGTATCTTACATCTTAAAATAAGATGTTTTCTAAAGCATCTTACTGATATTTAAGATGTTTTATACGTTTTAGTAGTGATGAAGATATTTCTTCCATCTTAGAAAAGTAAGATACTTTTGTAAGTTCTTTAAAGTATCTTAAATTAAGATGTTTCTGTTGCAATAAGATGTTTAGCGATAAGTTACTTGAGAATCGTAAGATGCGCCATAAGTGTAAGTTACTACAAACTAAGATACATAAAGTGTTTTCCATAAGAGCCCATAGTTAACCTCAAAACTTTTTGCCCCAAAAATACCACAGAAAATGTGTACGAAGATACTTTTAACATCTTACATTAAGATGTTTCAAGTAACTAAAAAGTGTCTACCAAAACATCTTAGAAATGACTACCAAAACATCTTAAATTAAGATACTTCTTTTTGCAGTGTAGTTTCAAATAAGAGATCAATGTATCCTATTTATCCTTAGAATATCGTAAATATTCAGGAGCTATGAAGGAACGCTTATAAATAATAATTAAGCGTGTCGGTACAATAATCAGTCGAGCACTCGACTGTTGCATTAATAATCTTAAGTTTTCGTCCTATAAAAAAATCTCCAAGAAAAACAGATACGCCTCTTTATTTAATACAAGGTTGTATATTTTTAAAAAATCAAAATTTTTAATGTTAACTTCTTTCACATTTGCCCAACTGACTGGCTTTACCGCTGTAAAGCCAGTCAGCCGAGCACTCGATCGATTATTCCACTGACATACGTTCAATTGACTTCTTTACAAAACACATATTTAGAAATTGTAGCCTAAAAAATGAAAGCAGAAACTTTATTTTACATAAATTAAAAAATCCAGAAGCGATTTTTCTCTAAAGTTTCGTCTAAAAATAAAACTAAAATAGTTATATACATACATATATGTCGTAGGCAAATAGAAGAATACGTCATTTAGCTAACTGCCTAGGCGTTTAGCTAAATGACGGATTCTTCTCATTGCCTACGACATATACATACAATTCTTTGTCAACGGGACTCCTCTGCTCTCCAAAAATGGTTTGCGTTTGAATTACCGTACCTATAAGCTTAAACTTTAGTTAACAAGGAACACTTTTAAATGTTGAGTAAAAATATGTAGTTTTTAAAATTTCAAAATAGCGGACGAAGTATTATTTTAAATTTGAACAATCTCATGTCTGTTATAAAAATTAAAATAAATTATAATAATAATAATTTTTTATTATACACGTGCGTAGAATCGTTGATTATACGCCCAGTGGACAAAAAACCATCATTGTTTTAAGAACGTTCCAAAAACGTTTTTAGAACGTTTCATGTTTGCAAAATAATGTTCCAAAAACGTTCAATTGCTTTTAAAACGTTTTAGAACCATGTAACGTTTTTGGGACGTTATTTAGCAGACATGAAACGTTCTAAAAACGTTTTTAAAATAATGATGGTTTTTTGCCCAGTGGGCGAGTGCTGCAAGTCAAAGAAGTATAATCTGATTTACGCACGAGTGCCATACGAAATTTTTTTTGCAACACTAAAACAATTAAACTTGTAGCAATATTGCCAATATTACTGCAACTTTAGGTGTAGTGGGGAACTTAAATAAAGTTTTCTATAGAAGCTAAAATAAAAAATGTGATTGTAAATTGTTGTTTATAAGCTTTATTTCACAAGAATGCGTAAAATAATTATCTTTCACATCGAAAATTACTTTGCAAATTGGAATTCACTTTACGCACTGCTAGCGGTGTGTAAAGTTATACTTTACACTTCGAGAAAATTCTCTGAAAAATTTATTCCTGGGAAATTTCCTGGAATTTTACGTTTATTCCTTGGGAACATTCTCTTAAGGGATTGTTTATCTCAAATATTTTACTTCTTATCTTCTAAGACTGGGTTAAAATTAAAGAAATTAGGCTACCATATTGGATCCGCCGTTTTAAATTTTAAAAATCTAACCTTAGATTTTGGGACATTAATTACATGATACTAAGGATCACTTTTAATAAAAGAAATCGGTAATTTTGAAATCCTTCACTAGAAAGTCTCCTTAAAAGTAAATTTTTAATTTTTAGAGCATAAGATTCGAACAAATGACTTAAGTTAAATCTATATAAAAGAAGTAAAATACAAAATTTATTTTATAAAATTTATTATCTTTCAAATTTAGAAGTTGAATTAAGTGGTTCCGAAACGGAAGAAAATGAGTCGAAGTTACAAGTAAAAGAAGAACAAGAAGAAACTAAAATGGATGAAAGTGATAATGAAGAAAGTGATAATAGATGCGAAAATGGGAAAAGAGTAGGAAGTAACGATAAAGATAAACCAAACAACACGAAAAAAATGAAACTGAATAATTACAGTATGTTATAACACAGTCCTAAAAATTGCTACAACTATTTTCTTTTACTAATTGAGTAGAGTTTAATCCTTCTTTTACATATTTCTTAAAACATGTTTTGGGACAATAATTTTATGACCCTAAGAAACACTTTTAATAAGAAAAATCGGTAATATTGAAATCTTTTGCCAGAAAGTCCCTTTGTAAGTAAATTTTTAATTTTGAGAGTATAAAATTCGAAAAAATGACTTAACTGAATCTACATACGAGAACTCTCTAAATCTGAAATGGTAGAATTCTACTAAGAAATAGTAGGGGAGAGTGGGGCAAACCGGCCCGGTGGGTAAACCGGCTAGGGGTCAATATCTCCGAAATAGCGAAATTGTCAAAAGTGCTATTCAGAAATTTGAAACAACCATGTTTAGTATACCTTATTTTTTCAATATGACAGTTTTAGCTTGCGTTTGTGCGACAAAGGGAGCAAAATTTTATTTTTTAGTTTTTTTCTACACTTTTACGAATTTTTTCTTAAGAAAATTCTGAGGAAATCGTGAAATATTTCTAAATATTAGGTCTTAGGTTTTGAAGGTACACACCTAAGGAATATTTACCACCAAAAACTTTGATGAATTTGCAAAGCGTTTCTTTTTGACAAACATTTATTTTCAAAATGGGACTGTGGGGGAAACCGGCCATAGGATATTTGCATTGTATCAGAGCTTCAAGAAAATTATTATTAACTAGAATGTTTTTTTCATTAAAATATTTACTTTCAATGAAAAATAATTATCTTTCAATGAAAATTAGACCCTTTAATACTGTTTCCCTGATAATTTCAAACATTTTTGTTTTGTTATTAAAAAAAATTATTTATTTAATTAAAATTAAATCCTGTATTATTATTTACATTATTACAACCATTGTTCACATGATTCTTTATGTTTGTTGTTATTGTAGATTATACAAATGCAATATTACAGATAAAAAAACCCTACTGGCCGGTTTGCCCCAGGGGGTGGGGCAAACCGGCCCGTTTGCAAATTTTTTTTAAGTTAACACAGCAACTAAACAATAAAAGATAAAGTATAGGTGTCTCTGGGAAAAAGTTGCGCAAATAAATGATCTTTCAAACAAGTCATCGAGAAATGAAATCGGTTGGTTTGCTTAGTCACAAGAGTAAAAAAACCGTAGGTATGCCCGGTTTGCCCCATTCTCCCCTACAATTTTACTAATTTTTAGTAGTTGTTATGGACGACTTTTCCCCTTTTCAATTAGTAGAATATTACTAATTCTTTGTCAAATTTTACTAATGTTTTGGTAGAATTTCACTAATTGAAAGTCATTTATTTCACTATTTTTCAATTCATTAGTAACTTTCTACCAATTCAGATTTAGGGAGAAGTAAAACGCAAAAGTTATTTTATAAAATTTATTCTCGTTCAAATTTAGAAACTCCATTAAGTGATTCTGAGACGGAAGAAAATAAATCGAATTTAAAAGTAAACGAAGCAATTAAAATGTATAAAAAAAATTTGCTTAATGAAAGTGATGACAGTTGCGAAAATAAGAAAAGAGTTATAAATGACGATAAAGATAAACCAATCAACACGAAGAAAATGAAACCTAATAATCAGAGTATGTAATGTGATAAATACTAATTTAAAAATTTAGAATATGAATGGAAGGAAACACAATCTCAAAATAAACTCACAATTCATATTGTCAGAGGCAAACTTCTCTTATTTCTAACATCAATAGTCTAAAGTCGATAAGCAAAAAATAACTTCAAAATTAAGTGGATGTACTATATACTATACTTTCCTTTTTCCCTGTACCCTCAAAATAAGTTACATGTTAATCGTCAAATTTTTAGGTTATCCTAAGCATTTTAATATTTTTCCTACACTCTGTCGCTTTTCATCTTTTCTCATGTTCTTTTTACATAAAAATAAGATCAATGATTGTTGGTCGAAATACGACTATAACCTAAAAATTCCATAACTCTTCCTTCACGAAGGGAGACCAAAGCACTCATCTACTATGCGTTTCATAAATGTTGAGCCCTGAAACTTAAACTGTAATAACTCAACAAAAAAAAATTGCTAATTAGCGAAAAAACATTCACTGTATAGATCATTTTATTGAGTACATACTTTCTTTTCATGAAACATACATACATTTATTTCTTATAAAGTAATTAGCATTAGAGTATATAAAAACACAGGAAAATACAGGAAAATGCGATTGACGAACTTTGGCGAATTCTGGCAATTGCACGATTCAAAATAAAACATTCAAAAAATCAAGCATATTCTTTGGTTCCTCCTTAATCAATAGTGACAATAAAAATTCAAAAATGTTATTAACTTTTAGAAATACAACCAATAATACACGACAATGCTATCTTAGTTTCTAACAGTGATAGAAATTTCATTCAAAAAACAATAAATTGCAAAAAAATCAATTAACTCAAAAAATTAAAAATTAAGTAACAATACAAATTATTATAAGTTTAGAACGCGATTCTTTTTTTATTAATTTTTTTTGGCGTTTGAGAAGAAAAGAGGTCTATGGTATCGATGTCATACCTGGGTCCATTCAAACTTTTTCGGAGGCTAAGAAGAGGAAAGACAGAGCAAGAGCGTAGACAGATAAAATTTATTCAGTCGCTGGAAAAGGGTAAGAAGATGTAAGTCCCTATGTAAGTGTTTATTCTCTTATTATTTTTATTACAATTATTATTATTTTTATTGTTATAATTATTATTATTAATATAATTATTGTTATTATTATTATTATTAATTTTTTTATTTTTTAATTATTATTATTTATTATTTTTATTTTTTAATTATTACTATTTATTATTTTTAATTATTATTTATTTTTTTATTTTTAATTATTACTATTTATTATTTTTTAATTATTATTATTATTATTATTATTATTATTATTATTATTATTATTATTATTATTATATTATTATTATTATTATTATTATTATTATTATTATTATTATTATTATTATTATTATTATTATTATTATTATTATTATTATTATTATTATTATTATTTTATTATTATTATTATTATATTATTATTATTATTATTATTATTATTATTATTATTATATTATTATTATTATTATTATTATTATTATTATTATTATTATTATTATTATTATTATTATTATTATTATTATTATTATTATTATTATTATTATTATTATTATTATTATTATTATTATTATTATTATTATTATTATTATTATTATTATTATTATTATTATTATTATTATTATTATTATTATTATTATTATTATTATTATTATTATTATTATTATTATTATTATTATTATTATTATTATTATTATTATTATATTATATTATTATTATTATTATTATTATTATTATTATTATTATTATTATTATTATTATTATTATTATTATTATTATTATTATTATTATTATTATTATTATTATTATTATTATTATTATTATTATTATTATTATTATTATTATTATTATTATTATTATTATTATTATTATATTATTATTATTATTATTATTATTATTATTATTATTATTATTATTATTATTATTATTATTATTATTATTATATTATTATTATTATTATTATTATTATTATTATTATTATTATTATTATTATTATTATTATTATTATTATTATTATTATTATTATTATTATTATTATTATTATTATTATTATTATTATTTTTTTTTTTTTTTTTTTTTTATTTTTATTTTTTTTTTTTGTAGTCGGAAGTGGAAAATCTGTGAATTCAGATACCTGGGTAATGAATTCCAGGTTATGTGGGGATGACCGCTCTTGTTCTGGTCGACCCACTAAAAACCACTCCCGTCTTAATTTGGACTATTCTTCAACCCACGGAACTACCTATTGGCTTTTAACTTCGTGAAGTGAAGGTCCCATTATGTCGCTTACGCGACTCTTCCGTGCCGCTCTTGTTCTGGCCTTATTTCCTCCTTGTCCTTGACAGAGTCTTCTTTGCCTCCTCGAGGGCAGTTCTGAAGACTCTGCATCTCCCTGATCCAGCGACATGTTGGATGTTTTCCTTTTCGCTGAATTTCGCCTTGCATAAGAAGCAGCATGGGCTCTTCTTACAATCTGCTGCCTTATGGCCGGCTTCTCCGCACTTGAAGCACGCAGCCGACCTATCTACCGCTTGGCAATCTCTGCCTATATGGCCATAGTCAAGGCACCTGTGACACCTTGTGACCATAACTCTCCTACTAATTTTGCAGGACACAAAACCGATTTTAATGTGCCCTATCTTCTCCAGCTTGTTAGCGTCCTCTTGGGAGGTGACCACGACAGCGAGCTTAATACCTCGCTTATTTGGTCCGAGGACCGTCACCTTCCTGCTTCCTGCTGGCACCGTAGATAGTTTGTCCAGGGCTTCTTTGACATCCTCCTGTTCGGTAAGGGTGTCCATGTCGCGGATCTCCAGCACAGTCTGCCGATCCGCCATCTGCACCTTACCTAGATCGCCGATCACCTTTGTCACCTCTTCGGTGAACAACTTCTTGTTCGAAGACCCCCCAATTTTAATGAGGAGGTCTCCCTTTTTAGTGGGTACAGCTCCCACAACCCTTGTCTGGCTGGCCTCCAAGTCAGCCTCTTTTCGAACCTTCGCTAGCACTTCGGCAAAGGTAGATCCTTCAGCCACTTTGACGACCATTGTGGCTCTTCCCTTCTTATCTGAAATTGGCTTTGGTGCCGTTTTCATCTCCTTGCCTTTGGACCTTTTAGAAGGTCCCTCCTCCCTTTTCCTTTTTGGATCCTTCGCAAGCTCAGGATCACTTCTCTTTCGTTTCTGAGCATCCAAGACAACGTTTCTCAACATGATCGCGTTACAACGATCTCGTCTAACTCTACGATCCTGTCTGGCCTCTTCTGACCAAGTCAATCCCTGGTAGAGATTCTCATCCTTTTTCGTAGCTGCTGCGTGCTTCTCCTTGATCTCCTGTATGAGCGATTTCATGCCTTTGAGTCCATCCTTGATTGTCATATTGACATTCTTTTGGACCTCGCAGGACTTCATCATCTTGTTAACCGCTTCCTCCATTGCTAGAATGCATGTTGCCTCTTCCTCTCGCAGCTTAATACATTCATCTCGATCTTGGTTGCAGCTTGCAATGTCCTTTGCCGAAGCATTACTGAAGACAGAAATGCCACTGACCTGGCTTGTCACGCTGCTTGTACTTCCTCTTCTTTCTACCCTATCCACGATGATCTGTGGAACTCCCAACGCGTTGTTGCCCTCCTGCATCCATGGGCCACTGGCCACCGCCCTCACGCTCGAAAGCGCTTGACGATCGGAACCAGTGAGGGATTTAGCCGAAGCATTACCCCGCAGGTACTCCTCGTTTTTACAATCGCTCATACTTAATGTTTGTCCCGTATCGAGGGAACGATCGAGCCTAAACAGGGTACTACCATCTGGCCAAGATGGGCCCTGAACCGCCTCCGTTAGTTACATAGACGTTATAGCATTGCCGGAGCATTGATGCGACGTCTATGATATCCAAGGGCACGTGAACATGTATGTTCGGACGTGGAGGTCGATGTGTCTCTCCAAGATAGCAGGAAGTTTCCGCAAAGGGAGTGCATCCTGGTATCTCTTCACAGAGTTTACCCTCATTATTATTATTATTATTATTATTATTATTATTATTATTATTATTATTATTATTATTATTATTATTATTATTATTATTATTATTATTATTATTATTATTATTATTATTATTATTATTATTATTATTATTATTATTATTATTATTATTATTATTATTTTTTTTTTTTTTTTTTTTTTTTTGCTTAGGGACTTTTGGGAAATCTGCCTACAGATACCTTGGACTCCGCACTCCAAGGTTATGTGGGGTTGGTGTGATAAAACAAAAGGAAATAAAAAAAATTGAAAAATAAATATATAAAATAGTAAATTTAATAAACTGGCGACCTACTGCCAGCCCGACCCACTAAAACCCGTAACCCTTCTTCTGGAGCCCTTTACCCTCCCTCGGAACTGTCGTAAGACTTTAGCCTTCGAGGGTGGCGCTCCAACTCTGTCGCTAATGCGACTTTCTGCTTTTCTCTGCGGTTATCCTACGTTAATAGTTAAAAATTTAAAACTATTTCAATATAAAGCGGAATTAACAGCACAACAATAATTAAAAATAACAAATGTGTAATTAAGTGTAAAAAGTCAGAAGATAAAATTATAAACGGATATATAAAAAAAAGAAAAAATAAACGCGTATAAAAAATTGAAAACATAAAACTGTACAAAGATGAATAACAAAAACACAAACAATTAAAAAATGTATAAGGACAAATAAATCACAAAATAAATTAATAAAAAACAAACAAATAAATTAAAAGCTGTTTAAATTACGCTTTTTGGCGGCCGTCGAGATCCTTCCTCGACATAACCGAGATTATGAAGTTCTCGACTTGCCGCCAATTCTCCTCTGACTGGGTCATCAGCGATACCATGTTCTCCGGTGTAACTTGACTGTTTACACCTTCGAACATGGCCCGCCTCTCCAAGTCCCATTTCTTGCATGAGAAGAGGGTGTGCTCCGCGTTGTCCTCAGGG